ACCCTAAACCAAGAGGTTAATGTTAAGGACTTCAGCCTCCGTTGTTGGTAATTATTCTGACACATAGTACAGCAGCGCAGAGTTACTGATGAAGGCCTTAAATTTGGCCGAAGTCCCGTGCTATATGCTGCACTTGAAAGCATTGGCTTTCAATACTGAGAGGAGGCGTTAAGTTATTCATCAGTGGTGCTTGACCGGTGCAGGCCCTCAAGAGCTTGAACAAAAGCTTGAACTGCTTAATTTGCCCTGACCAGTTCCAAGAGGAGGCCTGTTTAATTCAAGTCAATCAATGCAGTGGCATGGTGGAGCGGCAGAGCTTTTTACGTGCCTGTTGTGCACGTATAAATATTTATAAAGCTGATGATGAAGTACTCTCAGGGTTTATGTTTTATTACCATATTCATGTTGGAGAAGTCCTTGTGGCCCCGGGTACTCAGAGGTCAGTGATAGCTGAGCCAACATTTAAGGTGAGGAGTCTTAAAAGATGACGCATCTCCACTTCCCCCCACTATCCAGAAATTAAGCCATAATATCCCAGATACAACCAGTGCCATCTTGTGCCAATGACGTCAGAGTCTAAAAAGACCCTGTCTGCATTCAGCACAGATCCTAGTGCAATAGTTCATCAACCGCAAGCTAACCACCGGTATAAGGAGTCATGTACGTAGCCACAGTATGAGGGTTGCCCTGATACATGAGTGTATCAATTGTCAATAATGAGGTTTCATGTCTAATATCTAATTAGAACCAAACCTAACTTTTAAGTTTGTTCCATGTCTCACTCATTAAGATGAAGGTGGGGTTTATGACCTATACTGCATCCAACCACCAGAAGGTGATAAAATAATTTGGCTTCACTTTTGGGAATTTGTTATGTTGTCCATCTTTACATGCAGTCTATGATTCTATGTCTATGCTTCACCTGTCCCTGATTTGCGCTTATTCTTGACATGCAGGTGTTTAAAGATTAAGTTGGTTTTGGTATTTCCATGGCATCCGTCAACAAAAGTAAACATATATAATATTGCCAGTGTTAACCTTCAGAGTTGCCTGAACAATGAAACACAGTAGGAGATGCTGCTCCAGCAATAACAAAAATGTAAATGTGTGGTTTCAACATCCTAGCTCTGCTCAACGTCTCCTGCAGCCGAGCAGTGACTGGCCTGCTAATGGACCCTGAAGAACAGGAAGTGGAGAGCAGAATATAACAAGCCATTGGAGACACTATGTTGTACTCCAGAGAGCCATTAGCCAACGTTTCCATTTATTTATCCATACACCAAAAAAAGAAGAGTGCAAGCGGCTCCTTGCTAATTGCAAACAGAAAACCATTAAGGTAGCCATGGAGGTGCAGTGGTGCACCCCAGCAAGAGACTCCTCTGCCATCAGTCCCCTGATGGTTCTGTTCCACTTTGTGATTGTCTATGACGCATGATGCAGGGCAGGAGAGGATACCTGATGTACTGACAGGTGGTCCCCGGCTAACGCAATAAGTTTGTATGCCTACATAAGAATCTTGGAGAGAGAGAGAGGCACAAGAGAGTAGGCAGCTGCTGTGTACCTGTAGTGTAACATAGTAAGGCGAGGAGGAGAAACGGCAGGAGGAGGGGAGATGCAGAATGAGTGACATGGAATCCAGAGGGTGGTTATGGAAGGTAAAAATGAGGGACCTTCCCTTGCATACAGATTCGTATTGTCCAAACAAATGGATGTGAGCCAAAAATTGACTTAAAATAACTAAATATATGGCCAAAATATCCCAAAACAAACGTGCCTTTTTTCATGCAGTGCTCTGGGCAAGGTGTGATCTGGAACTGAACCTAAAGTGGCCCATGTGGTAAATGGTGAATATTGCCCAAATAGCATAAAACTAATTGGGGCCACCTTTGGTTGACATGTGTTGAGGTTATGGCTTACCTGTGCCCCTGGTCTGGCAAACAGGAGCTGACCACTCTAATGCCATCATTCCATGGAGTATGTGGGCCAAATTGTGGCCAAAACAATTTTGGTATGTGGTTTGTAACAGCCTCACAGTTGGAAATCTGGACACTGGCCAAAAAACATGAGTGCACCCACGATGTGCCCTAAGTACGTAAGCCCCAGGGAAGGGGAAGGTTAAGCTGAAAAACAAAACACTAATGCAGGTCATGCAATAGGCCTCTCATTTTTCGCCTGTCTTTGTCAGAAACCTAATTTATTTAATAGCCTGCCTGATTCAATGTCAGGTGTTTGAAAACAGACGGCGGCAACAACGAAAGCATAGCGGGGGAGAGAGAGAGAGAGAGAGAGAGGACAATCACTTCCCTGACACTCAGTGGCGAGATGTGATTTCCTAAGTGAAGATCTGTGTCAGCCATCTGGTGATAGAAAATAGCAGGAAACCGTGTCAGCGTGCTACTTTCAATAATGCATGCATGCATGCTGTCACCACATAATTGACAATTCAAGGGGGGATTTCAGGGAAATGTCAGCTCCTGTGTTTATTGTATATATGCTTTTACTTGCTGTGGTGTAAATCTATTCATCTGTCTGAAAGATGCTGGAAAGCCAAACCTTCAACACAAAGAAAGTGGTGGGATGTAACAAAGTACAAGTTCTTAATTACTGTACTGTGTATTTTTCATATATATGTACTTTACTTAAGTGGATTTACATGCAATGGTCAGTATATAACGAGCAGGGAATTGTTCCACTGATCCATTCAGAATTGGCAGATAACATTCGACCCCGCCTCCTGCAGCAGAAGCATCACTGGTGAAGAAACACCCGAGAGACTTATCCATTAATTAATATGACGATGTGTCTGTAGTCTGAGTGATGATGTTAGTTTGCCATGAATCTGGTTAATCTCTTAGTAAAGAAAGACAAATATTGTGTGTGACCCCCAAACCTCCACAAATGTTCCTATTTAGCCAACTGGCTATTGAAGTTGAAAATTCCGGCATTATGTAATGGGTTCCACTTAGGATGGTCCTTTTGATGCTTGAAGTATATTTAAAAACAAGTACTTACTTTCTGCACTACCACTGAACAAAGGCCTGCAGATACCTGTGTCTCTGACTGATCTGTATAAATTATTGTTTTTCACCCAAAAATACTTGAGACAGATGAATGTTTGTATGTATCAATGCCTGCTGTCCTCCTGACGTCTGGCAACCCTGGAATACATCTGCATTATTTTAGGATGAAATGCAGCCAGAGAATTGGGCCGACTGCACATGATTGTATTTGCAGCAGAGCTTTTGTTTGCAGCTATGCAGCCACTGTGCCATTCTCTGCAGTCATATGAAGCTAATCATGGCTGCCAGCAGCAATAAATCAAGTGTAAAACTAAAAGGCCCAATCAGAATGTGCATTGGCCCTCAGTATTTCCTATTCAACATAATACAGGTAGCTGATTGCAATGCTGTGCCATTCCTTTTAAAGTCTTTCGTTTGTGGGAGGTGACAAATGACGCATAAATACTTAAAGAGTCGCCTCAGCAGCAGCATCCAAGAAAAGCCTTTTTCAAACAATGATAATGACCCCATGTGGTGGGTAATTTGATTAACATAGGAGCAGCTCGTTCATGGGTAAAAATGGTTTCTGAGCTGAGAAAAATAACACATGGAAATTAGTTTTTGTTTTTTTCCGCAGGACAGAAAAGCGATGGGCACGTCATCTTTTTAATGCATGCCAACTCCTTTAATAACAGCCGTGCTGCTGAAACTATACAATGTCTGGCAGCTTCATAAACCTCCACCTCCACTCAGCTCCATCTTTTACTATTATGAAATGCAAATGTTATGTCACCACTTCACGCAGAGATAAATCAGATACTCCTAGCATTAATACATGGAGCCACTTCGCTCTCACTGCACCGCCGGTCACGCAGAGTTAATGTGCACTCCAGCCTTTACCACTGATGCTGCCTTTTATAACCATTTCCTTTCCATGCCTGTGGAAATTAATTGAGTCTGAGATGACACGACATATGAAATGGAAAAAAAGGTACATAAGCTGCACTGAAACCAGACCAAAATGATGGAACTGGCAGCCGAACTAAATCCTGGTGAGGTATTGTTGGAGGAGATTCAAGATATTCTTCCTGTTCAGTCTGTGATGGACTGAGGGTAGACACATATAAGAGAAAATCATTTGTTTATTAAAAAAAATACCCATAAACATCTATGACATCAATCAACATAAAACAGCTCAGTTCAATTCCACTTTTTTCTGTCCGATTACCTGCGGATAAGATTTCTAGGTAATTACTGAGGATGATCTGAGGGCGTCGTCCATAACAGAAGGTTTAAATAGTTACATGATTAGATTCTTTAAAGAAAACTAGAATGTCACTCAGTTAAGTCCATATCTCCGCTAAGGTCCAGTCACCTTATGAAACCACATTTCAATTTTATTTGAATATGCACCAAATGGGTACAGTCATAAATAGTCAGTCCTAAGAAATCAACGAACATGTTTTAAAAAATGAAATGTTAAAGAAAGTGAAGAACATTTCCTGGATCCACCCCCTGATCTGGATTTACTTCCCTGACCCAACCCCCCCACTAACATTCGTAGTGCCCTAATTTTTGCTCACAAGCCAACCAAGATACAGACAGAGGTGAAAACATAACCTCCTGGTTTATTACTAATTAGCCTTTTGGAGTAACAGCAGGTATTTTGGGGCTTCTGTCTGACACTTTTAAAGTCAGTCTGGTTTGGAGTCAAATGTCTCTCCATATATAAAAAGTGAGACTTTTTGTGGATGTGTTTTGTCTAGATGCCATTTTAGCTATTTGATTATGAATAAGGATACTGAAAGGCTGTTAACCTGCAGGCAACCCAAACATTATTGGTCAAACTAGAAATGGTTACCAGAAAAAATCTGGCCCATAAATCTACAGAGTCTACATAATCACATGCACAATCTGTTAATAGAGATTATGAGGTAATTAAAAGACAACAAGCTAAAGAAACAAATCCAAAACATTTATTGAACATACTATGTTATGTTGTTACAAACAATTCACTGGAAAATACAAAAGATATAGCTTCATAAAATCTGTATGCTGTATTCATTTAGTATTAACCTTAAGCTTTACAAAAAGTATAACCATACAAACACTGGTGAATTGTCCAGTTGTGAATATGGTTAATCTTAATAATCTAAAAATGCTTTATTCATTGACACCATATTTATTACATCATAATAAAATATATTCAAACTGTGGTAATCCTCCTGACATTCACAGGGTTTTCCTCTGACGTACTCGCCTGGCCTTGGCTCTCACTGTGCAGAGACGTGCTGCTGGAGTGCACGACATCAGGGACCTGTAGGGCATCATCAAATTTAATTCTCAGGAACACAGTCACTGGAGAAGGCTGCAAACTTAAGAGACGCCTTTTTTCTTTGTCTGTCGAATTAATGCTGCTGCATCAACGTACAAACGGAAAGGACCATGTCTTGTCTGTTTGTCCGTTCCGAGCTACTGTAGAAACATGGCAAAGCACAGTGGTGTCTGTGGAGTCAAGACCCGCTGCTCACTATGTAAATATATAGGGCTAATTTTAACATACAAAAGTACTAGCGGTTTTAATTAAAAGTGGTTACACAGTCACTATAACATAGTTATGAGATTTATATCCCATTTTCACGAATAGATTCTCATCCTTTCTACACCCTGCCCTCTAACAATCCAGCCCTGAAAGGTTTGCATGCTCTGGAAGACAGCTATTGTCTTTAAAGGCCTCGCTTTAAAGTGTGTTGTCCTCCTCCCTCAGTACTTCCAGATAAGGTAATCCTATTGATTCATTACTACAGAGACAGCGGATCAGAGCTGAACTATTGACCTTGTGTCCGAGCTGCTCAACAACATGGTCAATTGTGAGAGGAAACTAGATAAACCAGTCCACAAGAGTGCAGTTTCACCTTTCATTATTAGACACCAGGATACACAGGTATCAATAGAGTAAAGTTATCCAAAATCAATGTGGAAAGTCAGGCCCACAAAACTATCTCTGGCGCAATTACCTCATCAACATTGACATGTCAGGATCATGTAAAGGACATGAGAATATTTACAAAATACATAAAGACAGATTTTTCTCAATTTGCGTCTTAGTCAGGTTTTCAGTTTAGTCCTTCATGTACGCCTGTAGATCATCACAACATTCAGATCATGTGCTACAATAATGGTGCCGCCACTCAGAGGACGCAATGCGAAGAGCATTGTGTGGAAATCTACCAATTTGGATTCACACAGCGATGGATGATTTGAATTGTGTGACATGAGGCCGGCTGAGGTGAGACAGAGCAGCAGTGCAGCTCTCTTCTGTTCTCATCAACGTGAGAGGAGCTATAGCAGGAAGTCCATCTGCGGAATGACTGGACGCATTATTCAGCTTGGGTTGATTCCGTCTCTCTCAATCTTTCGCTTCCCCTTTCTCTCTTTTTCTCTCTCTCTCTCTCTTTCTCTCTCTGCCTTACCTTGTGAAAGCTGGCAAAGTCCATCTTTCTACGAATTTCCATGATTAGCTCACTGTAATCTGCATCTGCAGGGTGAGAAACATCAGTTTAGCCTGATCTAACCTTGCAGCCCTTCTGACCAGCTACAGCCCACTTTGGACTCAAAGTGCACCTCAGCAAAACAGCAAGAAATCAGGTGAATTAGTGGCTCAGAGGTCTGGGATGTGTGCAAAATAAAGCCTGTCCCTTTAAAAAATAATTTGAAATTGGTAATAAATATAATTTGCATGAAACCAGCTTATTATGTGGTTTGTTGCTGCTTAATTGATTAATTATTCGATGAAAGCCAATTGTAAGTACCTGGCCCACTGGTTTGACCTAGTTTGTGATCTGTAAAGTTGACAATATGTTACTACTCTGACAAAACAAGCTTAAACCATTTAAACCACGCTACAGTGTTCCCAGATGGTTGGCTCTCTGTGCAAATTAGATTATTGAAATGTGACCAAGCTGTTCAATGCAACACAGGGAACATGTCTGCATAAGTTAACCGAAGATTCGGTGCCTCGTCAGGTAATTGTTGATTAATAGGTAATAAATATGAAACAATATTATTAAAAACCTCAGCAGAATTATTGCATTGTGTGTTAAAATCACCAAACTGTGCAGTTCAGCAATACCCTAATATACCTCTGACAATATATTGGTAATATTGGTGTTTTCAACAGTTTTGAAATTTGATTTATAGTATTTATAGTAAACTATGTGTTGCTTACTCACCTGTGGGGTTCTCATTAGAATATCCCAAGTTGACCTTCCCCTTCGTCACCTCAGCAACCGGTCCTCTCCCAACCGCTGATTGGTCGAACCTGCAAATGCACAAAAAACGTCCAATGGAGAAGATAACCTTTAGCTGACATATGGCAGGGCCACTTAATCTGAGACCACGATGTGTCCACAAACATTTTTCCTTCCTCCCAGAGCTGCAGCATTGGGCGGCTGCATTGTTGCAAAATGAACATCATCATCATTTTTCATTGCGTTTTATTAGACCTAACCCAATTGCTCAACTCTCACGTCAATGTGCTCAATGGAAAAGCTATAAAATTAATTTCAGCTGAACGAGAAATGCTGACAAATACAAAGCAGAATGTATCTTCTTCTGAAACGAGCTAATGACCATTGGGATCTTAATCACTTTGTGACTAAATGTAATAGCTTTTTAATGCATGTTATTTCAAATTTATGTCTTCATCTTTAATCTATAACGAGAAACAATAAAAATACATTCGTTCTCAGAAAGAAGTTATACGAATTGATTAAAATTCAAAATGAGTCTGAATTTTATGGTAGCTTACGTTAAAGGTGGGGTTAGCTATAGATTGGTGGTTCGGCTTGGCAATGCACACGCATGGAATTTGGATGGTGGAGCCTCTGAGGGAGCAGTGAAGGGAGAGGTGTATTTGTTTTGGTCTTGTGTTCGATTATCAACAGTTGTTCCCCACAATCACTTACCCCACCTTTAATGGAGATCAATACATCCAGGACATGTCTCTGCTGCTGTAACAGATTACTGTCAGCTTTTTTCCCTCATTTTCACTTAAGACTTCACAGTTGAGCTGCTTTTCTGCTGAAATTCAGGAGAATTTGATGTGTGGGCACAGCAGAGTATCCACCGCTGGAGTGTGGGGGTCGATGACACTTCTAACTTGTGAGAGACAAAAATGAAAAAAACTAACAAAAAACAAATGTCTCCTGGTACGCAGAAGACACGGACGAAATGTCCAGAGAGTATGTGTTGATAAAAGCTGACGACAGTGTCGTGGTGCTTTAAAAGTTATCTCTGCAGCAGAGTTAATACGTCGGCTCCTGCCTCTACCTGCGGCACCCGGCTGCTCCACCTCTCGCCTGAGTAAAGTGGAGTATCTATTGCTGTTGTGAATGGGTCTGTGCAGAGAACCTCCAGCATCCAATTCTCAGAATTTTACCCTCAGGTCATGTCTGAAAACAGCTATAGTAAAGAAAATCCAAGTTTTTCATTGTTTAAAAAAGACCTATAAAGCAGGAGAAGTGGAAGAAAAAGGTTTTCAGTCTCACCATGCAGGCTCCTGTGGGCTTGGATCTGAAAGGTAAAAAGAAAATGAGGCATTAAGTTTCCAGAACTATTATGAGCTATCGTCTGCTAACTTTATTATTCTCACTGCATCGACAACAGAACCATTGTGCTGGCTCACTGCATCTACAGCGATATGAAACACTAAATGTCCCGCTGTTTATCAGTTTTGGGTTCTGCACTAATATCACAGCCTCCAGTCAGTTTGCAATTCAACAGTGAAAGCTGGAGCTGAGTGTTGATGAGTTTTGTAACGTGGCTTTGTTGTTGTCTTTGCGAAAGGTCCCCCTGGCCACGGAAAACACACACCAATATAACAATGCTGCAGATGGTGCTTGCCCCAGGAGATATATAAACTCTTACAGGGGGAGAAATAGCCTTTGTCGTTATATTTTAAATCCCTGCTGTCATGCTAGCCAAAGTCTTTGAGGGTGACTATATTAGATCCCTTCTATTTTTCCAATATTTTCAAAGCATACATTACTCTCCATTGAGATGGATTACCCAAAGAAAAGCTCAGTGACTTGGAAGGGAGCCACATTGTAAAAAATCCTCACGAAGTTAATTTCTCTTGCTCAGGGGTGTTTTATTAAAAGCTATGAGACTGAAGTAAGGACGGTGATGTGCACGGTATTAGAAGTTTCAGGTACAGACACAAACCTGGCACACCTGCTTTCTGATAATCCCTCAGCACTAAACCATGGCCATGATTTGCAATGGTCCAGAATCAGTCACAGGGATTACACCGACTTTTAAATGTGTGACTCAGGGCCACTTTTTTGTTATCTCACACAAACAGGCCTCCGCCGCCTCCTTGCGCTAGAACAACGATCCCCTCGGAGATGGCAGTCCAGAAACATCTCTGCACCCTCCTGCTTTCCTGGCCAGACTATTTTACAACATCACACCACCTCCAGAGCCTGCCTGGGTATCGACCGTCCTGCTTGGAAACTTGACAAGTGGTCCCTCCACATCACAAATATTCCTTCCAAGTCTTGAGCTCTAAAAGAGTTGCAGTAAAACTGTCTCATGGTGTGGTGAGTTTAAACCTTATTAATGGGTTTATACCATTTCCTGACCCACGCAGGACCCGGAGGGCTGTGAAGAAAGAGTTGGTCCTGCTTTAGTCACCTCTCAACTTAAAAACAAAGATTCAACGTGTTTGAATTAAAGGAATAGTTCAACACTTGGGGAATAATGCTCATTTGTTGTGCATAAACCTAAGAATAGAAATGACAACTGAGATATCCGTTTATTAAAATGAAATAAACCTGTATTCTCTCAAATGATGAGGAGAATGCAATTTCACTGTTTGTAAAAACCATTCGATTTCTATAGAAGTCTCTGAGAAAATGACTCATACTTAAGGAGTTTATGGTCTTAATCGGTAGTTTTCTTTAACGATGTTTACTTTGTAAATTATGGTCCCATTTAGTGTAGATGATAAAGTGTGGTATGCAGAAGGGTGTGGATACCGTGTGAGGAGCACATGAATGCACAATAACAGCAGCATGGTGTGCAGGTGACATGTGTTTGTGTTCTCTGAAAGACGTCAAACCCCAGTCATGTTTACATCGCTCTCTGATATGGAGCCATCACACTTCATAGATGTAGCTCAATGGTTTATAGGGACGGACTGAGCACAGATGACAATACACATGGAGAGGGTGTGACTTAATTCTCTGCTCAGGATACCATAACTGCATTATATCCTGATATTGAAAATAGTTGTCAGCTGCTAAACTAATGTTTAAAGCCTTTATGTATAACTTTTATTCTCCTCATCAAATCTTTGCCAAAAATCGTGCATGATGCTGTGTGTCAGTGGGTATATTCATACCTACAGACTCATCTGGAGGGAACGTGGTGTCAGGATCTCTCTTCTGTCAGTGTACCAACAATCCTTTTAGCAAACAGGTTGATAGTCTGCTCAAGATCTTATTTCCCTCTAAACACCTTTCAACTCCTCCTCATATTTCAATGTCCTTCATCAGACTGTCTCAGTGTCGCGGCTAACAAAGACGGAGACATAGTCCCTTCCTTTATACAAGGCAAGCTCACTCAAATGATTATTTTACCATAACAATCTTACACCATCTACATCTAACACCTGCAGTGAAAAGATTACTGGTCTTAGTCTGGTGGAACGACTGTCAGCGTATTGTTTTAGTATTTCAAATATTTCATATATTTTGTATTATTTAGGTACAAATTAAATTACCCAAAATATCGAAATATATCTCAGATTTTGTGACTTATTGTTTTCTGTGGAGGTTCCACAATCACGTTCTGATGCCTGAGAAAAACTAAACAGGGGAATGGGCACGTTTGGACCTTGAGTGTTTAGTTGTGATGAGTGTCCACATTCAGAAATGAAACTGGCTTTTTGAGGGTTAAGACCTCAGTGGGGGGATGTAGCGACAAAACTTGCCCTGTTAACTGAAACTAATGTGTCATGGCCAGACAGTGTTTTCATGGCAGTGGAAGAACGACACCAGCTTCTAAACTGAATATTGTTATTATTACATATTTATGTATTTATACATAGAAAAACATTGTAAAGCTTTTCAACATGCTGAGTCTGACTGTCTGAATGCTCTGAGAGAAGTCAGACTGCATGAAAAGATACCCTGCACATGCAGCGCTGCCGCAAATGTCTTAACTAGTATGTTATTTCCAATAATACCCACAATACTGTGTAAATTGTGGTAACTAACTATAAAGATGTTTTATGGTGTTTTTAGTGTGTATTTTGTGGTATTTAACTGTAAAAATACTGCAAAGAGTAACAGTGTGCCTTGTGGTTCCTTCCTGTCTTGATTAGTCATACACACGCGTACCTCCGTGACCTCTTTGATGCTGCTGTTTCCAGAGAAGTTACGCTTTCTGCTGACAACTAATGTTCCGCCTTTGTCAGAAAAAAATATAGTGTGCCCTTGGTGAAGGCCAGCACGGGGGGGCCGTGCCAAGTCACAGCATGTAACCACCCATCTTCTTCATTATCACAGTTTCTTTAAGGGAAAGATGTAGGAGGAGGTGACATTCAATTCACCTGGAGCAATTTAAGGAAGAGAAAAGTGCCTACTTGCTCGTCTCCTCTGTCTGTACCAGAGGACAATGCAGATGCCGAGCAGGAGGAGCAGCAGAAGAGCAGAGAGGGTGGCAGTCACCGCCAGCAGGACCGTGCAGTCATCATCTTCCTGCACCACCTCTGCAACTGAGGAGTGAAGGTCACGTCAGTGTTGTGGTAAACAAAATGCTGAAGCTAGTGTTGTGACTTTGCAATTCAATTACAGATTTGCGGACACAGTGTAAAGAAAGCTTTGTTTGATATCCTGTTTTCATTTGCAGTGGCAGGCGAAAGAGAGAAACACTTCTGTCGTGTGGAGTTGAAGAAAATGTTACAGCGACAGCTACAAATGGAAAACGATGTTTGTATTTTACAAGCTGTGGTGCCACCAATGAGCCGATGCTATTCCACACTGCTCTTCAATAATAATGCTGAGTTATGATTCACCAGCTTCCCCAAAAAGAAAAGTAAATCATGTTCACGAATTACCAGTGACCCATACAAACAGTGGAAGGAAAAAACAAAGTACTCGCTAACTGGCTAGTAGTTTGTTTTCTCCTTCATCATACGTCATTTGACCTGTAAGTTATTGCAGAGACAAAGTCACAGGTAAAGCAAATATGATGCAATTAAAAGGCCACCCTTAAATGGAACATCCCATTACCTTGAATAGAATTTGGGATTTTTCTGAGAACATAATGGATAATGTACATAAGTCAAAGACATTTTAATGGAGAATTGTTATGTGTAATGTGAAACATGGTGAAATACAGTGTTCCAGTCTCACCCACTGTCAGACGGACGCCGCTCTTCAGTGGCGTGACGAGGGCAGACACGAAGACCAGACATTCCACACGAGAGCTCTTTGCCGCCATCACACTGAGGTTGCTGCTCACAGTGAAGAGGCTCTTCCCCGACTCTTCACTGCTGATGTTGTAATCAGCCTGGCTCACCTCCACACCACCCCCCACAGAGAGAGGAGCATTATCATTTACTGTTTATTCTAATCAGGATGTCTGCTCTCACGGACCAGAGTTATCCAGGAAATACTCGACACATTTTTGCTGAATAGGACTGATGATGCAGGGCTGGTGTGTATCTCTCTGCCATATTTTCTTAAATTGTAAAAGAGAAGTTAAAGGAAGCTCCGCTCTTTGAAGGTGATAGACAGTATTACTCCCTCTCTGTTCAGAGGCGGGACAGGGAATCCTACTAAATGACATGATTCGCTGACATTTGGGATATTTGCAATAGTTCACACAAGAACTTTTCAGATAAACAACATTATAATTCTTTGATTTTGTCGTGACCAGATTATTTTTGAATTGTAATGCAGATTGATAATCCTCTGCCATAAAATGAAGGTGAGAGTATTAGCTAGAATTGTTCTTGACCAACTATTCCATTCTAAGTGGTTTTTAATATGAAATACCTTTCTAAGTTCATAAAGTGTGAATGCAGTTATTTATGCAGCTTAAATTCAATACATTGTCTCAAAAGGTTTTTACAATCTTTGCAACATATGAAATAATCTATCCTCAGACCTGCAGTTTGAACAATGTGTATTATATGAATAAAGAGAATATGATCCATTTCAATATAGAGCAGATAATGATATGCGTGTCTGTCTTCAGTTATGTAGTTACCTTCTTGTCATTCACCTGCCAGTACAGACTGGGTTCAGGGTACCATCCTGCTGCTTGGCATTCAAATATCACTGACTGCCCCTTGAAAGCCAACATGTTGTCCCCTGAGACTTTGATGATGCCCTTTTCTGCAAGCAGAGGAAAATACATTAACAAATTAGAATTTTGTACATTTTTTAAGCGCCTGCATACATGTGAAGTTTATGCATGCCTGTATATTCCTGTTGATGCATGTGTTTACATTTAACAGATTTTTATCATCAGTCACCTTCATGTAGCTGCATGCATGTATGTTTATCGCTCTGTTGTCTGGTGAATACTTTTCTTTTTCCCGCTTCATTTTCCGCCCTTGCAACCAAATAAGCCATTTAAGGCCCCTGAGAAATACAGTATCTCATATGTGAGGTCTATTGTCTGGCAGAATGAAAGCTGGTGGAGGCCACAGACAATTGCTATAGACAGATAGATAATTACAGGAGCTTCACTGCTTTGTCGAAGCGAAGGACATGCCCGTGTTGATTTCGGTTCAAATCCTCCGACGTTTTGTGCACATTATTGGCCGTCCCTTTTCTCAAGCTGCCTTTATTTAATGCCTGATTTGATGTCATAAACATTGTCCCGTCCAATTCTTGACAGCGCCCAGTTATGATTGTGGACTCCAGCTGCTCTCAGAGAACCTCGGGACAGGCGAGTAAAGGTTGGCGAGGAACCAGCAGCCTTATTTGCACTGACTGGGGGGGGGCATCATGGCTGATTGATACATCTGAATGGAAAATGAATGTCAGCTCTTCCTCCCAAAGCTCCACTCTAAGTGATCTAAATTTTCATAAGGGTTGATAATTACTGCAGGGAGATTTCTCCGGGCTGCAGTGGCGAGCTGTGTGAAGTAGGGAATCTCCAGCTAACTTTGATTTCAATGGGGAAATTGCAGGCAGCTTTTAAAGGCGGAGTTAGTGATTCTGGGGAACAACTGTTGATGTCTGAAAACAAACACTCCTCCTTTTCCTGTTGCCTCAAATGGTGGTAAATTACATGTCTCCCTTTTGTTATTTCGTTATCTTTGTTGGGGTAGCTCTAGTCTGTGGTGCATCAGTACTTAGCATTTGGAGCGCTACTGTGACTACCCATGTTGCTGATTGGTAGAATTGTGTTATGCTGTCTGAGTCGGCCAGCTTATTGTTTTTCATTGCAGAGGTAGTAGCAGAATTTGACAAAACATTTACGTAGTGAAATCGCTTACCCCATCTTTAAAGGCTGGACTAGTGTGTGTCCGCATGCATCTTGTGTTGTATGACAGTATATAACATGGACTTTATGTGTGGTTGCAGATTTATTCCAATTGGGATGTGGAGCACAATTCCTCTACAATTAACACATTCGCTGTTATCTGATTTATAAGACATGTGGTCATCTGCAGATCAAGTAAAAATGCTTGCGAGCACATATTGATTTGTCGAAGTGAAGGGATTGTGCATTTGAGTTTGAGTGAGCGAAGGACATAAGCATGAGGGAGGGAGCAGTGACGTTCATATTTACACCATCTTCATATTGGACAATTAAAGCAGGGAGTGTGGATGATGGCATCAAGAGTCAACCAGCCCTGTGTGGATTTGTGGCTCCGTCCCAACAGTATATTTGAGGCTGCAGTGCACAAATCACAGGCAGAGTTGCTGACTGTTAACCGGCCATGCCAGGATGCACAATTAATTCAAAGGCTGTGTCAGGGCATATGATCCTCTGCATCCAGACTGGAGGGCCTGATTCACCATACACTCCTGTTAATGGCTGCATATGTCAGTGGGGATTTGTGGCGCTGGCAGCAATGAGGGCTCTCTCAGTAATATATTGGAGGCAAAGGGTCATTGGTTTTTGTCCCCCCCCCCCCTCTTTTTGCAGAGCAAATGTTTCCAGGCAGATCTCTTTTTAGCTGAGCTCTCAGTTTGGTTTGTACCCACTGTTATTTGACTTCTTCAAAACTTGACTTAAAAGAACTGCAACGCTATCCATACATCTTTCAAAATAAAGTTAGTGTGCTGGAACAACCCTTTTCACCATTTTAAACCTTCATATATTTATGGGATGATAATTTACATATATAATTTAAAAATATATGAAAATAATGACTCAATATTGTCCATATACTCTCTTTTTAAGAGATACAAAAAATTGGAACTTGAATTATACCATAGGTCATTTTTAAATTGCATATTGAATTTGTTTAAACTTTCTGTTTTCTGGACTGTCATTCTCCTAATTTACACACCAATTGCTTTCTACAGTAGACAGTCACTCATCTGTATCCTATGCTTGCTTTCCTTTATGGGTTGTGGGAGGTGCTGGAGCCAATCCCAACTGACATGAAGCATGAAGCGGGTTATCACAGCGATAGTGAGTCTCCAATTGACCTAACCCCCCTATCTGCATGTGTGTGGACTAGGGGAGGAAGCTGGAGTACCTGGTGAAAACCCACAAAATAAGGGAGAACATGCAAACTCCACACAGAAAGGCCAGGATTCAAACCAACAACCCTTATAGTGTGAGGTGACAGTGGCCACATCAAATCTATTTTTCTTTGGTAATCCCTGTGAGGAAAATCCTACTCCTTAAGATGCTGGTTCACACTGCAGTGCATTCAGAGCTGATTCTGTACATCTTGCAATTGTTCTGACCGGTTTTGAGTTCAACACTTTCCAGCTGGTAAGTGGAATTGAACTGATAAGTGGTGGGCCAATCAATTCATCACCTCCCACGCTGTCATTAACAATGTCACAAGAACCATCAAACATGCCCCGGTGTCTGTGGTCCACCTCGCAGACCTAAATGAAGTCCTAGCCTTGATACACACCTTTATTGATCTCTCAGGTACCAAAGCAGCTGTTATTACAGCAAACTAAAAATTCTATTAAATTCACTCTGCAAACCAGCTCAAGCACTTAAATAAGACGTGTCCCTTAAATCTACTATGCTGTCTTTTTTTGTGTTATTTGTTATTTTTAGTGGAGACAGCAGTGTGTGGGTGTGCAACATCAGAGCTGCTACACAACCTTTGCTTCGTCCCTTCATTTACTTATTTTTCGAACATGAACAGTTTATTTCTGCAGTTTCTCACACTGCAATGATTTTCAAGAGATGTGCCATCTGCCAAGTTTCCTTCCAGTGTGTGTGTGTGTGTTTGTGTGTGTGTGTGTGTGTGTGTGTGTGTGTGTGTGTGTGTGTGTGTGTGTGCGTACCTGTACTAATATCTTTGTGAGGACCATTTTGAGCCTATATACCTTATGGAGAGAGGACATTTTGAGAGAGTGAGGATATTTTTGCTGTTCCTCACTTTTTCAATGAGCTGTTTTAGGGTTAAGACTTGCTTTTAGGGTTAGAGTGTAGTTGTAGATGTTGAATGGACAATATATTTTACCTCTATTCTACTCAAACTGCAAAACAGTACACATCACATTCACCCATTCTCACACGCAATTAATCTGTGTGGCGCTTTTTCTATCACAAACCATTCATACAGCCGTCAGGGGTAATTTGGGGCTCAGTATCTTGTCGAAGGACACTTCAGAATGCGAAATGGGAGAGCCGTCTATCAAACCATGACATTCTGGTTAGTGGATGACCCACTCTACCCCCTGTGTCAGTGCTGCCCCATTATGTGTAGTTGTAGTGGTTAAGGTTAGGGTAAGGGACTTGGGAATGCATTAAGCCAAAGAGTGTCCTCACTAAGACAGTAGTAGAAGACAATGTGTTTGTGTGTGTGTGTGTGTGTGTGTGTGTGTGTGTGTGTGTGTGGTCTGTATTCATATAGAGTTTTTGTAGATGACCACTCAAAGCAGTTTATAGTACAGTTCTGTCATTCATCCATTCACACACACATTCATAGATGTGCTGCACTTTCTCTATCACACATCACCCACACACTGCCGGCACAGCTGTCAGGGGTAATTTGGGGATCAGTATCTTGCCCAAGGACACGTCAGCACATGGAATGGATTGAACCGCCAACCTTCTGGTTAATGGATGACCCACAGTGCGTGTGAAATATAAACATTTCCTTACTTTCTTGATGCCAGAATAAATCACACAGATGCAATTCATACCTCTGCCTACGTTCTCTCACACAAACACTTACACATGAACACACAGACCTTGTACGAAGAGGTCTGCTGTTTTCCTGTCGATGCCCTGAAGGTCACAGGTCACTTGTCCCTGGTTGTACCTCTCTGTGCTATTCAGGACAAACACCCAGCTGTCTCCCTTGGAGCCGGAGACTGGCTCAGCTGTCACATTAGATATGGTGGACGGCAGGACACCGTGCACCTTCGAGATGGTGAGCGCCGCTTTGCCGTTCAGCAGCCACAACATAACGGTCCACCGGGGGTTGTAGGTGCTGCAGGTAAACCGAGCTTCCTGCCCTCGCAGGACAGTCCGTGTTTCAGGTGACAGCTTCAACTGGGCTCCAGCTGCTGACGGTCCAAACATAAACAGAAATAAACCTGGGTAACTTTAATTACATCACTTTGATGCTGAGTCTGCGAACAGATCACATCACCAGAATACCACTTATGAACAGAGCAGAAGAACCTTCAAAGGAACAGTGTGACATTTAAAGAAATACGTTTATTTGCTTTCTTGCTGAGAATAAGATGAGACCACCTTATATTACCCTGCCTGGGGAAATACTGGCTCAGCTTCCTTTGAATCAAAGCTTAAACTTTACTTTTACCTAATTCTAGTTTTTTATTATTGCAATGGGTGGTCATAACTTGAATTTCTCTCACAGTGTTTTTATTCTTTTTTCTTTTATGACTGTGTTTATTAATGTTATTTTTACCTTTGTTTTTTTCAAATTTATGAAGCACTTTGTAATTTAATTTTGAAAAGCACTATATAGATATTATTATTATTACATCTGTTTGGTAAAAAATGAAGCTACAGCTAGCTGCCAGTTAGCTTAGCAAAACGTCTGGCAAAAGCTAATTAACGTGTTACATTTTGTCAAATTCAAACATAACAAAAGTTGAAAAACAAAAGGTTGTGGTGCTATGGGAGGTTATGTAAATAACTATGAGGTTGCCTAGCAACAATATATTGTATAACTTCGTATTTCACTGAATGTGAAACATGAATAGCATTAAACCAATCTCAATTATGAGTTTGGGTATGCAAACAACACTATGTTGTAATTCCGTGACTAATCAGATTATGCACTGCAAATGAACTCCTTTTGAATACTAAATACATAAAAACCACTGTACTGATTTCCACAAATTTTTTGGAGACTTTTGAGTTGGACCTTGGTGGAGGTATGAGCTTTCTGAGTTCCATTCTAGTTTTTATTATTTTGGAGGAGACTTTGCCTGCAAGGTGAAGGAAAAGCATAAATATGGAGGAGACTCAGTGACCAGTAAGTCGACAGATTCACTCAGTTTGTTCAGACGCCCGGAAAAACTGAAGAATTCAGTGATGTTGTTTTATTCATCGCTTTATGAGCCAAATGAGGGTGAAAAATTCAGAGGAGGATGTTGGCTCTTTGTCTGATGTAGAAATCAGAGTCTTGCCAGAGGATCAAGTGTGTGTCACTTATAGAGAACCTTATCAGCACAATCAAGACCTGGAGAGCAAGTGAAAGTAAGAGTGCAGAGAGAAATTAAATAGATCTGAAAGGGATGAAGAGACAAATGACAGAGAATGATGAAACCACTCCAGACCCATCTGTTTCTTAAAGCTGCTGTCAAGACGAAGATGGCTGATTGGCTGCGTGGAATGAATGAGGGTAAACAAGTTTTCAGGTTTCAAGTTTATTAGTCAAATGTAAGTTAACAGTAAAAAGAAAGGTGTGTGACGAGAAGGACAGGTCAGCTCAGCAATAATGATAGCAATGTCATAGAGAATAAAAAGTAAGATAGAGAAAGAAGAAATTGAAAAAAGGACATTTAAAGCAAGAGCTGAATATGGAATTAAGAGTATACTGTGTATACTATATAAATGTATGTTTATACAGTTATTGCACATTTTCCAGAGGCGAACCAGGATTTATGAGAAAATACTGACAAAAAGATAGAAAAACATGTGTGGCTGTCACTGCAGGGTTTTTACAGTAACCTACAGACATCTATAAAGATATAATGGTCACATGATGGGGGCTAAAATAATCGACATGGAAACATTCATAACCAAGTGTCCACTTACACACACAGAGCCACACATCCTCAATTACAATCGTGCAAGTCTGTGTGGCTTTCTGTTGCAGAAAAATGAAGGAGATGTGGAATTAACATTAATGGCGAACTGTGAAATATGACATAACATGTTTATGCCACAGCAGTGCAGGGTGATGTATCACTTGTTTGTGGGGCGAGATAACTGTGTTACCTTCTACAGCTAGCGGTGCAGACTCATAAATGATGCATATGTTTAGGAAATTAGGTCTGAGAAATATGTAGGCCAGCCTATACAGCTATTTCTTTTCCTTGCAATCAGAGAAAAGTGACTAATGAGCAGCATTTGTGCAGGGTGCTTTTGGGACCATTAACCAGTGACTGGCAACACACTGGCAACATCCTACTATTAACTAAATAGGCGGCCATTTTGGAGAAAATGAATTGTTTAGTCCAGATTGATTGTCTGTGGGTTTAATCTGAAGGGTTCCACCATTAAACACACCACAGCACTGAATCAAGCTGTTAATACACACATATTACAGTCCTCTGTGATACATCACCAACCAAGGAACCTGCTGTATTCATCACCTTGGATCCAGCACGAGAGTAGCAGCACCAACATATGAACCACCATCATTCAACGCCGGAAGGCCCTGAAATGAGAGTTGTTAAATTATTACCTCTGTGAATGAGGTAATGTTTTCATTGGCATTTGTTTGTTGGTTTGCAAGATTACTCAGAAGCTACCTAACCGATTTCCATTAAATTGTGTGAAGGGGTGGAGTGAAGGGCCCACTAAATTTTGGAGTGGATCTGGATAAACAGGCTGATATTTTTTTTCTTTCTTTAACATGACAAGATAGGATGTCCGCCTTGTTGGAGGTATGTGCTCGCTGCATGACTTTCCACATCCAAGGACCATAGTTGATTATAATCTCAGGTTTTTAGCCCTGTTAGTCACATGGATCCAGGGATGACGGTGTTAGTCCATTGGCTCACTCCAGACTTAAAAATCTTATTAACCATCAGACACACTGCCAATAAATGTGGTGCAGGTGCCAACGTTGCCATTACGATATGCCTTCATGACTTTGATAATCCCCTTAGCTGCTCTCATTCAAAGTTTTCGCTTAAGCTGTGAGATATCTCAACATGTAGAGGAGGGACTGGCTCAAAAGTGTATTCAGGTATTAATGTTTCTCAATGATAAATATGATTGTCAGTCAATGCTTTGCTTTATACTGTGGAACCAGAATCATGATTATATTTGTGGTTTTAATTCAAATGTCTCAACAACTACTAGATGGTTTTGAAGTGATTATATTGATGTCCCTTTGTCATGTTTTCATTGAGCACAATCAAAGGTCAAAAGGTTAATTTTCAAACATCTTAGTTCATGAAATTCATGTATATTTAGTGACTGACATCAGCGTCAGTTCAGTCACTGCTGATACGGCCGCACAAGCATCTTCTGTTTGTTTGCACATGATTAACAACTTTCTTATCCTTTACATATATTGGTATTAACATTACGTTTTTCAAAAGAGATCCAAAGAAAATACTTATAGGTCAAGTAATGGATCCTATTCGTGAAATTTAAAATAATCTTGGTAATTGTGATCTTAATTCGTGCATTCGTGCCTTTTAAAACACAACCAAATTCAGGTTTTACCTAAAGTTACGTACATCAAAACAAGACATGAAGAGACAAAGCAATTTACAGCAAATATTGCATAAACTTCAACAATGTTAAACATCATCTGCTGTATATTTCTTGACACAAACAGGACTGTTCAAGCACCAGCACTCTTAATTTTGTTGTATTAAGTACAATGCAATTACAATAAAAGCTTTCTATTCTATTCTATGGAATCCATATTGTGTACTCTCTGATCACTACCACACATAGAGGATATTTTTATATTGACAAAGTGGAAGGAAGTCAAAACAGTAGGAATATGATGACATTTTCTGGATCTCGAGGGAACCCTAGCATTACTTTATACAAGCTGGAGCTTTTCAGTGGATATCTGGGGCAGACAATGTAATTTAGGTAATTTAAGAATTACAATGTTCCCTGCAGCTGTAAACAAAGGGCTTTAGTTTCCTATAATGAAAGAAAAGATGGAATTTTAATCATAAAACTCCTGAGCTTTCTTTGTTTTATCATAAAGAGAAGAAAAGTTTTTTAGTTCAAAAACTAAACATTAACCTTGTATTTTCTGTCATTTATAAAATGAAAACACTAAGGTAACCAGTAACCAGATTGAGATGTTCGATCCTCTATAAAAAGCAACATCTCTTACATACAACTGAAGCTTGTCTTACGTTTAAAATGAAAAACATTCGATTTATCTGTGTGTGTTCGACTCACCTCAGTCCAATGTGTGTGTGGATGAGCAACTAGTGTCACACACAGTAGATACATGTCAACAATGCTGCTTCTTCCTCATGTCTGGTCCTCAGCCATGTCAACCCAAAAACTGTCCTGTTAAATATTAGCAGTCAGAGCAGGGGACTTTGTCCTCTGTAGATGTAAAAGTACACAGAGTGACTCACACTGCAAACAATGCCCCCTGTAAGTCCCCCTACGTCCCAGGGGCCCTGCGACCAGGCCCCCACCCTCTTCACAAGTGAGGATTTGACATCAACACATATCGAGTCTATAAAAGTAAAAATAAATCAAAAATTCTGTTCAGTCCTGATTTTCCTTGATATCTATTGATCTGTTTGTTATTTGAGTTTCAGTTTTTGAACACTTGAGTTTGTTTGCCAGAGTATTTCTTCGACCAGTGCTTTTTAACTCTCTAAACTTTCTGTTTGTCTAATTTCAAACAAAGAACTTTGCTTCTTATTTTTACTTACAGTGGAGTTCTGCATAGTTGATAGGCTATTGTAATTATATTTAGCATATAAACAATGCTTAGATGGTGCAGTGAGATAACTAGAGTACATGATTGGCCATTTCTTTGCCTGTCATCTAATAATAATCACACATTTTCACTTTACGCCTCCAGAATCTCTAGGGACAAGGCAGTTGTTTTCCTGTTGACCTCCACACTGCTCAGGCAGCACAATGGACCATTGATTCATATATGTCGACGAAAAGAGTTTAAAATAAAACCAAATAGAACCACGTTTTTTTTAACCAGTCTATTTTATTGCATTTTCAAAGTCTTAGTCACATATTTCACTCTTCATTCAACAAAGTGCATTGATTAGACAGGAGTATTGGCAGCAGTAATTTCAATGGTGCTGGAGTAGATTGCAGTCCTGCAGTATGTGCGTATTTTCTTCCTCATGTTGCCACAAGAAGTCTTAGTTTGCATTCATACATTCAGTTGATGGAAGAAGACACAGAAATGAGGGTACAGAAGTGAGCTGTGAACCTTTGAATCTGAATGCCAGACGAAGCTATAGCTAAGGATTGCCAAGGTAATATTTTATTTTGAAAAGGTCACTGCCTCTTTTTGCTAGAAAACTAGAATCTCTAAAAGTAAAAGATGAGACACGTTTGAATTTAATAAAATAACTGTTGGTGCATTTTACAAAAGCTACTCATTAAAAACAAACGCTGCACATTTTCATTACAGTATGACTCTACACGCAAAATATAAAAATTAAGTCATCATTGCAGTCAAAAGGGGACGGGGTGGGGTGGCAAATGTGGGCTATGGGACGTCTCAGTTTGGACGGCGTTTCCAGTGGGGCCTTGGAGAGGGTTGGCAGGGGCTGTCTGAGGATGTTGAGCGTTAGGGGTCGGGGAGAGACGGAACAGGAGACTCCTCCGGGCTGAAACATAAGAAGAAAACAAAAGAGGTCACACTCGTTCCAGTTGTCTGTGGCGGCTGAAGAAGCCACCATCACTGTGGTGTGTGCCACCCAGCATGCCCGGTCCTCCGCAGGCACATGTGAAGCCCACTTAGCAATTTCCTCTAACATGGCGTGACAGGGGCTTGCAGGGGTTGGATGACGGGAGGCAGAGCGGCATTGCCTTTCCTTTCAAAGCCTGCTCTGCAGCTCTCTTCCTGCAGTGGGTCACAGATGCCCGACGTGCATAGAGAGGAACTAAAAGACAAGCTTTGAAGATTAGGATTATTATCATCATCATCACTGCCTGGGAGGGACAAAAATAGAATATGTGTGACGTTTTTCTTAAAGCTTCAAACGATCCTCAGGCAGATGGAGACGGTGGAGGCAGTCCCTTGTAAACAGGCTGCTGCATTAATTGGTTTCCTCTGACTGAACACCTTAAAGTGTAAGTCAACAGAAAACAACAAGACAACCAAGGTGAAGCAAGGACGGCATCAGCTTTAGAATATTTCATTTGTTATTAATTTGATAGGGACCGTGCTCATTAATCAATAGGCAAAACACCAGAGTTAGTTGTTAAAGCTTATTTCCCTGTAGCCAGTATTTACATACAATAAAATGATCCGCCGCATATAATGACAAATATCTATGGATGGTATGTGCATCATGCAAACCATTCAAACTAATCCATGATAAAAACACTACAGCCAATAATAATAAAAAGAAAGATAACCCATAATTTAATAGTATACTCCAGTAAAGACAAGCGAATAACCCATGATGAAGGCACATTATAAAAGTCAAACAATACAATATGAAATTCTATGTAAAGGCAGATTATACATTATACAGTCGGCAGAGTATATAGTGTAGATAAAGCAGACAGGTTGAGTAATTGTTGTGGTTGTTATAGTGGCCTTTGATACCAGGGTCAAATGCACAAAAGCATAAAACAATTTCACAACACAGCTTTATGTTTTTAATGAATCTGGTGACATAAATACCTAATATTAAAAGCAAACACCAAGTTCACATAATGTTGCACTGCCCTCCAGTGGTGAAGCATTAAAACATGACAGTCGAGAAAGAAGGAGAAGAGTATTCACCTGGGCAGCAGTAAATCACCTTCATCCACGTCACCTTGCTTCAACTACTCTGCCTCTTCCTCCTGTTTGAAGACATAATGATTATAAATGTTTTATACAAGGAAAGCAATAAAAGATGACAGAGGCATAATATATTAAAATCTCTTTTTAATCTGTTTTTAACTGAGTTTTAAGTTTGCATAATCCCTGTGAGGATTGGGGTAGTGTGTTTGCATCCATTCAAGGGTTTTAATGGATTTAGGATAAAAGATTACAGTTGAATCTGCTTGGATTGTTGCAGAGGTAGAAGCAGCAATGAGGGGAAGGAGATTTCTTCTCTCCCCAAACAACCTTGATTGCCATCTCCACTGAGATTGTTAAATCAAATAAAACCAAACATTACTGGGGCTGAAGCTGCACTATTTTCTACTAATGCGTATTTGTGTCCCACAAAAACCCATCCTCTGAGTTAGAGTGAAATAATACTTGTTGCAGGCAGGTTAAGCACAGATATAGATTTGAAAAAGTAGATTGTACATTCTCTGTTGCACTACCTGTGTTTCTTCCACGTCTCCTTCTTCTTCCTTTGACACATACAAGAGAAAAAGAAAGAAGGCTGTCATGTAATGTCATGGTCCAGGTTGTAGGAAGGTGAGAGGACTTCACGTGGTTGTAGTGATAGGTAAGTTAAAAATGGAGAGAAACTAAGGAAACTCTGTAGAACCTGAGATGACCCACGTCAGATAAAAGTGATTAAGTGCTTAAGATGGTGCAGCATTGAAGAGGTTTTAATTATGTTTGAATAAACTACAAGTCATCATACGTTGTATTTAAGTGTAAACACTCCAGCTACACAGGCTGTTCCTTATTAGTTCAGTTTGATGAAGTTTGAAATAAACAACATGCTCACAGAGGGACAAAGGAAGTTGACTTCATTCACTATAATTAGATTTTATAATCACTTGATTCCATGCAGTCGTACAATTACAGGTAGTTGGAACCTGAGTGTATATAAAGATGGACAACATGATGGCTTCCTAAAAGTGAAGCCACAACATCTCAATTCCCCCTGGTGGCTGGCTGCAGTATGAGTCATAAATCCTGAATTTATATGAAATGGGATGTTTAAAATAATAAGTTATAAGTAAATTTATGTATGTTGGTTATTCATATTTTCAAACGCTAAAGTAATCATAGATTATACTGTAGCCTATATAAAGATGGACAAATTGACTATAACCAGAAGTGAAGCCAAACTGTCTCAATCGCCACCTGGTGGTAGGTCATAAATCCTATCTCCTCCATGTTAGTGGACCAAACCAAAATCAAATATTTATAAGTTATAATATAGGTTTTCTCAAATTCAGTTATCACACTAATCTCGCTACCATGGCTCCACACCACCACCACTACCGACTCTGGCTCAGAATGCGCGAAATAGCAGTGTTTAGATTTTCTGGCTTCGTTTCTGGATAGTGGGAGGAAGTGGAGACACATCATCCATCATAGTATTGCACAGTAACAAGAACTGCTCCCTCTCCTCCATCTTCTTTGGAACTTGTCACATCCACTTTGTTTGTACTCTTGGCAAAGAGGAACAAAAGCCACAACTTCTTTAAAAAAAGGGAAAAAAAAGAGGACTCATCCCCCTGTCAAGTTAGTGCATCCCCCTGTACTTGTCATCAAGCTCATGTGGAGATAGGCAGAGACGAACAACACAACAAAACTTTGCACCTGTTCTTGCTGCTTCAAAACAAAAAAAGTAAAACTGTGTTGACAGACTCAGAGAAAATGTCTATGTGAATATTTCAAAACACCCACTGCAGCAAACTAACAGCAAACACTGTGTGGTGTCAGCTCTACATAAAATCCAGAGTTGTGTCACCTTGCCCCATTGTGCACCGGACCACATGATGCAGGACTGCGGTGAAGTTAGCATTACCTGTAAATTCAGCCTTTGTATGCAATCAGATCATGCATGAAAAATCCCAAACTAAATATGATTCACATCGTGCACAACATGGGTAGAGTGAAATTCAATTATACCTCTTGTACTTCAGCCTCTTCTTCTTCCTGTAGGAGATTAAATCAGGTGGTGTTTAGTCATTCAAATCCAGAGAATATCTATCCTATGGTAGAGAAGGGTATTTCTGTTACCTCACTTAATCCGCCTAAGTTTAAATAAAATATTGTCACAGTCACCATGCAGGCATCTCTATGGAGGAAAAAAAATACCAGTCCATGCAGCACACAGAGATATAGAAAGAAGAGAGAGGATAGTGAAACATAATAAATACAGGACATCACAATACCACTACCTCACTGCCTCACTCTTCTTACCCCTGCAAGAAAGGTTGGACGACAAACGACAAAATAGATGGAGAGTTGGAAAGGAAAGAGGGCAAAGCAAAGCGAAGCAAAGATGCTATAAGAACACGCAGAGGCTGGAATGTCTATGAGAGGCAGAGTCCTTTCAACAAGATGCTGAATACAGGCATTTTAAATAAGATTTGTTTTTACTAGATTAACTGAGGTTGATCTGGTTAGTTGGGATCACTAAGTTAACCTGGCGAAACCAGAGCAAAGCAACCCAATGTAACT